CATCTCCCGGAGCCAGAGTAGCCAACCGGGTGTCTGTTTGGGCGGCGTAAAGGCATTGGGTCCGTCCCGTTGCAAACGGAAAGCCGCTTCCGTATCGGTAATACCTGTATCAATGTGTGTCCGATATTGGGCGCACACTTCCTGGACGTCCATTAAATGTTCGGTAATTTTGACATCCTTGACCAGATCGACATTGGTTTGGCCAGTATTTATCGGCTAATTAAATAATAATTAAATGAAATTAATAACAATTTTTTTTCGGTTAATAATAATAATAATTAAATTTACAAAAATAAAAAAATTAATTTTTTTGTTTGATTTCATTAAATAATTTTTTTTTTCAGTAATGTTTACAGTTTTGTTAGAAGAGAGAGAGAGAAAAAAAAGTTTTATTAATATATAACTGTTTAGTCAATTGTAATAAAAAAAAAGTTTATTATAAAATTCAATCAAAAAATAAAATCAATAAAAATATAAATTATTATTTTTTTTTTTAGTTATATATTGATTTTTTTTATTTGAATATTAATTTATTTTTCAAAAAAAAAACATTAAAATTATATAATAAATACTTTTTTCTTTTTCCAAAATTTTAGCCGCGAATGGCCACCAATTGTTTTCTGGTCGTCACTGACCGACAATTTGCCGCCAATTGTCGGCTGTTGGCCACTCTCTACGTCCCGTTGATTGTTGGCTGCCGACTGATTGTTACTAATTGTATAACTTTTTTGAGACATTAGTTAAAAGTATTATTATATTAACACAATTATTGAAAATATATATATTAATATATTTAAAAAAATTATTATTAAAAATAATTAAATATAATTAATTAATTTATGTTGAATTTTTTTTTTACTAAATAACATATAGTATTATTAATTAGGTGTAAATTATTATTATTATTATTATTATTAGAAACTTTATGTAACCAAAATAAAAATAAAAATAAATAAATTTAATATAAATTATTTATTTAGAAAAAAAACTAAAAATAAAAACTTTTAGTTTTACTTAATTTATACTAAAACTGGTTAATATACTGGTGTTAAATGATTGCACTTTTTTTTGGTAAAAAAAATAATTTAGATATTTTTTATTTATTAATCTTTTTTTATAATTAAAGCACATTTTTTCATTATTATTATTTAAAGAGTTAAAAGATAATATATATATATATATTTATAATATGATGATATAATTCATTATAATTTATTTGTTCAATTATTTTAAAAAGGCCACCTGGTTGAATTGATGTCACCCATGTATTTCATAATTTAGTTGATAGGTATTTGATTATTAGTTTATAATAATTGATATATATTACTATATACTAATAAATTATATACTAATAAATTACAGTTAGAAAGAGAGAGAGAGAGAGAGAGAGAGAGAGAGAGAGAGAGAGAGAGAGAGAGAGAGAGAGAGAGAAGAGTGAGAGAAGAGAGAGAGAGAGAGAGAGAGAGAGAGAGAGAGAGAGAGAGAGAGAGAGAGAGAGAGAGAGATCAAAACTAATGAAATAATAATTATTAATAATTATTAATAATTATTAGTATTATTATTATAGAAGCGGTATATATATATATATTCAATGAAGTGTATATATATATATATTATATTTATATATATATATATATATACATTATATATATATATATATATATATATATATTATATAMATATATATATATATATATATATATATATATATATATATATATATATATATATATATATATATATATATTATATACATTATATATATATATATATATATGTGTGTGTGTGTGTGTGTGTGTGTCATGTATGATCTATTAATATATAGTAATATATATGTGTATATTATATATACAGTATATAATATCAATAGTATATCTAATATACTACAAATAATTTCAGTGTCAATATATATATATATATGTTGTATATGTGTTAATTAAAAGTCTAATTACGTAAATATAAAGTAAATTAATGCTTTGTCATACAATACAATTACTTAATAATATATTGTGTGTATATATAAATAGTGTAAATTATGAAACATTAATAAAATTTAAATTTAAATTAGATTAATAATTACAATATACAGTATATAWATATATGTAATAATATATTTTTTTCCAAAACATGTGCACATATTGTAATTAAATTATAGCAAAATAATTTAATGGACAATTTGTACTGTAAATTGTCTATGAAATAAATAAATTTTTTATTATAATTATAAATAATTTTCATAATCATTGATATTGAATATCAATTATTAATGAAATTTTTTTGTTTGTGTGTTAGTTATCATTATTTTTTAGCAATTTATTATTTATTTATAATTATGACAACAATTTTTATTAAAATTATTAATCACTGTACAAATATTGCTACAATTATTTATTTATTTAATGAAATGTTTATATCTTTTTAAAAAAAATTAATCATGAAAATAATTATAATTTTTACTAATTTAACAAAAAATTCTGTATAATTATTAAAAAAAATTAAATATTATATTTTAATTACAAAAAAAATGTATAATAAATCTATACTGAAATTACTTTTTTTAAAAAAATTATAATTACTTTATAAAAATTAAACTATTTTTTTAAATTGTAGAAATAAATTATTTTACTAATAATAATTATATATTAAAAAAGCACTTATAAAACTAATATATATATATATATATTATATAAAAATTACACATAATAATAATAATCAATTGCAATTAAGTGCATGTGAGCCAGTACATTTAGTTTACTATTGTATACATTTATATATATTTTTTTGATGTCTGATACCATAAATGATAAATAATTAGTCATTACTTTTACTAATATAAATAAATTGTTGAAATATTATTGATTGACGTCTTTTCTATTATTATTATTATTATCAGTTAAATAATTACAAATATTTAAACAAAATAATAATAATAATAATAATAATTAATAAAATAGACGCCGATGATAATTTTCACTAAATATACAGAGTTTAAATATATATATATTATATATATATATATATATATATATATATATATATATATATATATATATATATATATATATATATATATATATATATATTATAGTCCAGGGTAAACTTTAAAAAAATTAATAATAGCTATTATAAATAATTAAAATATTATATTTTATTTATATAAAAAAATAAATTTTAATATATTAATTATAAATATATATATATTGAATATATATGTTTAGTTTATATATATATTAAATATTTATTTTACATTAAAAATTGTTTCTCACTCACTCACTCACTCACTCACTCACTCACTCACTCACTCACTCACTCACTCACTCACTCACTCACTCACTCACTCACTCACTCTATTATACATTGTGTGACTGTATATACTTATAGACAGTTAGACAAACAGCTGTTAAGTTATAGTTAGTTTATGAATCAAAAAAAAATAAAAAATAAAATAAAATCATTAACTAAGGTCCTGGGGTTCGTGTAATCATAAATATATACTATCTATAAGTAGTTTTATTACGTAAGTCCCCCCTCTGATTACGATTTCCTCCCCCTTATTAGAAATAAGTATAGTATTCCTAAGTTAAGTTCATTACAAATATTTTTTTAGATAAATATTATATACAAACTATCTATTACTTAACATTTAAGTACTTTTACAGTATATATTAAATTTATTATTATTATTATATAAATTTGTTATATAAAAATTTATAAAATATTTTAAATTTTTATTAGTCTATATACTRTATATATATATATATTAAGTAATAAAGTTTGTAAATATTTTTTATTGTAATTTAATTTTTATTATATAATGTTTAATATGTCTATAGCTATGGGTTAGAGATCTATTGGGTGATCCATCCTATCTGATTGATACAACATTCCTATTTCCATCGGTGATGACTATCGGATCCTTTTGTATAACTATAGGATTTTGTTTAAATAGTTATCATGAATACAAACATACACTGTATTACTGGGATATGTTATCACAAATCAATAGTCAAACACTACAACATCCAATACAACCGAAACAATTAAAACAGTTATCATTGAAATTTAATCTAATTTATCTATATCTAACATTTATGCTTTATATAAATTTGTTGGTATGCAATACTGTCTATATTTATTTGTATTACTGGGCACTGGTAACTGATTTTGATACCAATACCTATCGATGGCTAATAACACTAATTATAAATTTATTATTAAGTATAGTATATTTGATTAAATCATTAGGTACAGTAATTTCAACATTTATGATTTGTTATTCCTATTCATATATATTAAAAATGATATTCAATGAAATAAATGATAAACTTATTAAAATAATATTAACTTATCGATCAAATAAATGGCAAACTATTAATCCGATAAAATTATTAACAATAATCAGTGAACACAATAGGTTTACTAAATTGGTTATGGATTGCAATGGATTTTTCAATAGTCTAACATTTATATTATATTTTATGTCAACTCCATGTATACTAATTGTTATTTTCAGTATATTTAGTAAAAAATATTTATTAATTGGTAGAATCTGTTGTCTATTTTCATTTATGTCAATGTTTTCATTATTGTTTTCTATAAACTCAATGAGCACTTGGATCAGTAGATCAGCTCATTTACCATTAAATCAATTATACAGTTATCTGGCCAGACATCCGACGATATCCATACAAATACGGCTATAATTACTTATATATATCGAGCGACTGTCGGGACCAACAATTGGTATCTATTGTTACGATTTGTTTCCAATAAATAGTTTTGAATTATTTCAATACTATTATATTTGCGGTCAATTAATGTTAACTTTAGCCTCATTTGTTTAATTACTATATTTATATATATATAAATAATTTACTAAAATAATATTTTAATAATCAATATACTGTATGTTTTTTTTGAAGTAATATTTTCATAATTTAAATTTTTGTTGTTGTTGTTAACTTTCATTATTCATTATTTAACAATAAAACATTATTATTATTTTATATTATATATTTATATAATATAATATATTTTAATTGTTATTATTATTAATTACTATTAAGTAAAATAATAAATTATTTATTTACTAAATAATTTTATTTATAGATTTTTTGATTTAATTAATTTAGTTATAAAAATACTTAAATTTTTTATATAAATTATTTAAGTAATAATACTAATATAAATATACTAAAAATTATAGTCTATAATAGATATTCAATTTATTTAATAAAATTTTATATTTAGAAAAATTTATAATCAATATTTATTTCATTAAACAATTATTTATAACATAACTATTAAATTAATAATAATAAGATTTAGAATAACTAGAATATAATTTTTTATAAATAATTATTATTCAAATCATTTATAGATTTTTTTTGATAGAATTTGCAATAAATTCAAGTAATAAAAAAAATTTTAGGATAATTATAAATAATATAAATTTATTATATTAATAATAGTATGTTTGAATTAAATATTTTGCATGAATTAATCAAAAGTTAAGTTAAATAACTTTTACTAACATGTTTAATTAATAATTAATTAATAGTATAAATGTTTTTGAAAATATTTAAAAAAGTTTAGATTATAAATTAATATAATTTTTAGTTAGTTATTTAATATAATTTATAGTTAGATATTTAATATAATTTATATATAAAAAACTAGTAAACAAATTAACTATAAAATTAATAAAATAATTATTATTTAAA